CTGTGCCCTGGCCTCACCCTTGATGTGACTGGCTGACAGAAGAACAGCTGCCGCTCCCCTCCCCTCGCCCCCTCCCTCTCAGGCGCAGATACACCCGGACAGACCTCAGGCAGATCCCTGACTACAGTTAGCAGGAATGTTAGCCGAGGACTCGGGCTGGTTGGGCCATGACTGCTGGCGGGATCCCAGGATTCCGAGGGGGTCTGGACTGGAGTTGACTGTGCAGCTGGGAGCAGCAGTGATGCCCTTAAAAAGGGAAAGGAGAGAGATGCCAGGGAGAGAGACAATGCCTGTGCCAGGACAGAACTCTCACCAGGTGGGCAGAGGGAACCAAGTCAACAATCACAGCAACGAGAGCCACCATTGACTGAGTACCTACTATCAGCCAGGACTCTTCTAGAGCTTTCCATACACAGCCTCTCTTAACCCTCACAGCAGCTGCCCACCCCAAGTCAGATTTTACCAGCTTCACTTTACAACAATGCAAACCGAGGCTCAGAGAGGTTGAGTCACTTGTTTAAGGTCACACAGCCAGGGAACTAATAAGCATTCAAACCTCTTTTTATATATATATATAATTTTTTTTTTATAGATTTCAGAGAGGAAGGGAGAGGGAGAGAGAGAGAGAAACAGCAATGATGAGAGAGAATCATTGATCAGCTGCCTCCTTAGCCCCCCGGGGAGTCTGAGCTGGCCTTTTTCTCCGCACCTTGGTTCCCTTCCCCCAGACCTCCCAGGGCTGCTTGTACCTGCTGACCCCGGGGAGCCACAGATCCCTGCTGTCACTTGCTCTCCTCCACCTCTGCCTGAGGCTGCCCTCGCCTCCCTGACCAAGGTCTCAGATGCTGTCATTAAGGCCTGGTGTCTCTCTTTCCAGCTCTTTGCAGAATTCCTTTGGGTCCCTTCCATTCTCAAACAGCTCCTCCCCTGGGGCAAGCCGGCCCCACCAGCCCCAGCCTCACACCCTCCCAGGTTTAACTGCAGAGGGAAAGCCTCAGCTCCACCCTCTCTGGGTCTCCTTGGCTCTCACTGGGTCATTTGCTCCTCCCTGAACAGATCCGGGAGCCAGGAAACCCAGGGAGGGAGGCGGGAGGGAGAGATCCCCCAAAGCAAAACCTTGTGCTGCTGCCGGAAAGGCGGCAATGGCCACTGAGAGGCAAAGCGGCAGGTAGGCCTGCACCTGCCCCTCAAGAACCCCGTGGTGGTCTTGAACTGTGCTTTCCTCTGTTCGAGGAGCCAAGGCCAGAGGCAACGCCCCCTCCCCGCCCCCCCCCGCCCCCCCTATGGCTCCATGTCCCCCTTCCCTGACCCCCATGCAGGCTCCTGCTGGCACTGCCCTCAGCTGCACGCCTGTCCCCTTCTAAGGGAAGCCTGTCTCTAAAGGGCTCTGCAGTGCACGGTGGACGGCCCTTTGAGAACCACCACACAGGAATTTGTTTTGATGCCTAGCACGGCCTCTGTGTTCTGGGTCTGGCTACGACTGATTGGGCAGCCTGCGTCCCAAGGAGCCTGAGAGCTGATCCCTGCGCCCTCAGAGCTCTGGGGGGGCTGCTGGCCTTCACCAGGAGGACTGCCACCTCAGCTCTGCGGTCTCCAGCTGTGGAACTAAGCTTGGAGCCTTCATTTTCTCATCTGCAAAATGGGGTGAGTTATACTTCCCTCCGGGATAAATGAAGCCACATGTGAAAACTGAACAAAATTCCTGAGGCCTGGATCAGTGCTTCTCAAACTATCTGTGAAAAAGAACAGTTTGGGGTGTTTTTTCTTCTTCTTCTTCTTATCTGTCATGAACCAGTGCTTATGTAAAACACAATAAAAATGAAAAATTAAATTTAAAAAGATATAGAAAATACAAGCTGTAATTTTCACTATTATATTCAACCAATATGAAATTATTCTGTCATATAGCTTTAAAGTTTCTAAAGGCTCACTCTCAGTCTGGTAACACTTCCAGACCAGGATAAATCCATGGACCACACTTGAGTCGCACAGATCGAGGGGGCTCCCCACAAATGGCTTTTAACTGTCCCATAATCCACTCTTGTTTATGTGATTATTGTTTCAAAACTGACTTTTCTCTTCCCCCTTTTGCAATTCCAGGTTTTACTGGAGCATGAACTAGGCTTGGTGATTGGCTCAGTGGTGGAAACAGAACGTTGCGTGTGAGGCCAGGAGTGGTTCAGCATCACCCCTACCCAGGATGTCACAAGCAGCTGCAGCAGACGCATGGACTCTGATCTCACCAGGTTTTATAACCTCGCAGTGTCAGAGGCTGCTGGTTGTTCTTCAAGATCCACTTTCCCCTTCTTCCATAATAATAGAGTTTTAGGTAGGAATATGGTTGCCCAGCTAAAGACTACATGTCCCAGCCTCCCTTGCAGCTAGGTGTGGTCATATGACTGAGTGTGGCCAATGGTCTGTAAACAGAAGTGATTTCTGTTCTCTTGATTGGGTAAGTGCTCCCTGTCTCCCTTTTCTCCTTCCCATCAGCTGGTACATCACAAGAACTAAAGTAACTCTGGAGCCAGAGGTGGAACCTACGCAAAGAGAATGGTAAAGTCTCCCTAAGAACTCTGGACAAAGAAACTCCTGTTTTATCCTAGCCACTGTATCTGGAGGTTGTCCTGTCGCAGTAGCCTAGCCTGGGTCCTACTACTGAAATGAGCAGTGGCAACAGACCGGAATTCTCAACCAGGGCTCACTTGGAGACCTATGTGTCTGTCTCCTAGTTTTGAAGCAACCCTTTCAAGCAATTGTCATGGGGCCACCAACGGCTGGGCCTGTGCTGGAAGATCTCCGAGCCTTCCTGCCTGGCAGAGAATCTGACCTCTGGCATGCCCTATGACCTTGACAAAGTGAGACTGTCCTGTTGAAAGGGGTGTGGTGGGAAACCAGCTTGGATTCTGCAGGGTGAGATCTCTGGGTGGGCAGAGTGTTAGGCAGCAAATGACTCAGAAGGTAACCGCTGCCTGCCACAGGTCCTCAGGGAGTTTTGACTCACTGTCTTGGCCAAATAGGAGTTTTAAGAGGCTATAGAAACAGCCCTGGCCAGGTAGTTCAGTGGGTTAGAGTATCATCTCGATTCACCAAGGTTGTGGGTTAGATCCCCAGTCAGGGCACATACAAGAATCAACCAATAAATGCATAAGTAAGTGGAACAACAAATCAATGTTTCTCTCTAAAATAAAAAAAAAAGAAATAAAAAATAAAGATAAATAAAAGAATAGCATTTTAAAAAAAAAAAGAGGCCATAGAAATAAAAAAAGTAAGGAGAGCGGAATTGGAAAATTGGAAGACAGATTCCCAGGATATCAGAAGCACTTCCTGTGGCCACAGGACCTACCTGTCCTTAGCTGACCCAGCCAGAGCTGGAGTCTGAGTGCTAGAAGAGGGTCCAGTGGCACAACTGGCTTCTAACCCAGCTTCCCGATCCTAGTCATAGCTGCTTGGGCCCCCTGAGGCAGGAGGAGGGGCACGTGGGCAGGAGGATGGTTTAGACCAGGGGTCCTCAAACTACGGCCCGCGGGCCACATGCAAATACAAATATTGTATTTGTTCCCGTTTTGTTTTTTTACTTCAAAATAAGATATGTGCAGTGTGCATAGGAATTTGTTCATAGTTTGTTTTTTTTAACTATAGTCTGGTCCTCCAACGGTCGGAGGGACAGTGAACTGGCCCCCTGTTTAAAAAGTTTGAGGACCCCTGGTGTAGACAGCCAGGGGACCCAGCTGCCTTGCCGAAGCTCTGCCCACTCCGTGTGGACTCTAGGGCCACCCCACAGCTCTGGGATGCTGCATCTCTCTGGCCTCAGCCTGTTGAAGATTTTTTAAAATATATTTTTATTGATTTCAGAGAGTAAGGGAGTGGGAAGAGAGATAGAAACATCAATGATGAGAGAGGATTATTGATTGGCTGCCTCCTGCACACCCCCTACTGGGGGTCGAGCCTGCAACCTGGGCATGTGCCCTTGGCTGGAATCGAACCTGGGACCCTTTAGTCCGAAAGCTGACACTCTATCCACTGAGCCAAACCAGCTAGGGCTGAAGATTTTTTTTTGGCTGACTCACTTTCCCAGTTTAAGAGTAAGTATGGCCGGGAATTAGACCCAACTACTGAATTCATTTTAATAAACACTGATTGAGGGATTATGAGCTGGCCTGGGGTTGAAGGTACAGAATGAGAAAGACTCCACCTTTGCACCAAGGGTGATCAGGCTGTTTACTGTCTGCGTAAAAAATGTCACAACATGTAGAGAATTTTATTAGAGTTTATTTGATCTCTTATTTGATGACATATGCCAGGAGCAAGATCTCAAATGCTCTAGAGCAGCCGTGGGAAAACTATGGCCCACGGGCCAGATCCGGCCCATTTGAAATGAATAAAACTAAAAAAAAAAAGACTGTACCCTTTTATGTAATGATGTTTACTTTGAATTTATATTAGTTCACACAAACACTCCATCCATGCTTTTGTTCCGGCCCTCCGGTCCAGTTTAAGAACCCCTTGTGCCCCTCGAGTCAAAAAGTTTGCCCACCCCTGCTCTAGAGAATAATAGTTTTGCAGCTTCTTGCATGCATTTGAAATTAAGGAGGGGTCATCAGGAAGATTGGAGAAAGCAAGGCAGGATTGGATTACAGGATAGTTAAGATTATGTGTTCTCTTGAGGGTTAATTAATATCCCCTCTGAAGGGTATTTCAAAGGTGTGTTAACATAGATCAGTGATGGTGAACCTATGACATGCGTGTCAGAGGTGACATGCAAACTCATTTTTTTGGTTGATTTTTCTTTGTTAAATGGCATTTAAATATATAAAATAAATATCAAAAATATAAGTCTTCGTTTTACTATGGTTGCAAATATCAAAAAATTTCTATATGTGACACGGCACCAGAGTTAAGTTAGGGTTTTTCAAAATGCTGACAGGCCGAGCTCAAAAGGTTCGCCATCACTGGCCTAGATGCACAAGAACAAGGGTAGGGCTGATGGTTTAAAACCTTCAGTGATTGCTTCGGCAGCACATATACTAAAATTGGGACGACACAGAGAAGATTAGCATGTCCCCTGCACAACGATGACACACAAAACAAAACAAAACAAAACAAAACAAAACAAAACAAACCTTCACTGAAGAAGTTATAGACCCGGGCATGATTACCCTCCATGACCTGCACAGTTAGGAATTTTATTTTTTGTTAATCCTCACCTGAGCATATTTTTTCCATTGATTTTTAGAGACAGTGGAAGGTAGGACAGGAAGGGAAAAGAGAGAGAGAGAGAGAGAAACACTGATGTGAGAGAGATACATTGATTGGTTGCCTCCCGCATGTGCCCTGACCAGGGCTGGAGATCGAACCTGCAACCCAGGTACATGCCCTCTACAGGGAATCAAACCCGTGACTCTTTAGTGCTTGGGCCAACATTCTAACCACTGAGCCACACCAGCCAGAGCCCCAGTTAGGAATTTGTGATCAGATCACCCTGTGAGGTTACTTTCCACAGAAGCCCCCTGTTTTTTGTCCACATGACCTTCCCCTGTCCTCTTCCCATCTTCTTCTCCGTGTGTACTACCCCACCTCCACCCCTACCCCCACCACTCCTCAGTGCCTCCACATTGTGTGCCCTGATGCCTTTGCACATGCTGTTCCAACTGCTGAGATGTTCTTCCTCCCTCCCCACCCCCACTCCCAAAGGCTCCAACCTTCAAGATTGAGCATCATAAATAATTAATTTCAACTCTGGTGGAAGGGACTAGTTCCCCAGTGGAAAAGAAGAGGGGACCTATGGCTAGCACCAAGGGATTCTGGGCAGGCAAGACTACAGACACCCTGTGCAGGTGAGGAGAGGAGAGGGAGGGTTGGAAATTCGAGAAACTGAATGACAAAGGTAAGGGTTGGAATGAGTCATGGAGGAGACTCAGGCAGGGAGGAGACACACTTGGTCGGAGCCCAGTGGGAATGTAAGGTTAGCGAACATCTATCCCAGGGGTCCTCAAACTACGGCCCACGGGCCACATGCAAATACAAATATTGTATTTGTTCCCGTTTTGTTTTTTTTACTTCAAAATAAGATATGTGGAGTGTGCATAGGAATTTGTTCATAATTTTTTTTAAAACTATAGTCCGGCCTTCCAACTGTCTGAAGGACAGTGAACTGGCCCCCTGTTTAAAAAGTTTGAGGACCCCGATCCATCCTTTCATTTATCCCAAAAGACACACCCCACACCCCTCCTGGGCTTCTGAGAACTTCCCCTCCCCTTCCCTTCCCCCACCCATGTCTCTACGGTTCCTAAGGAAACCACTCGGACATTCCTTTCTATCATGGCTGGCACCAGACCCAGTTTGGGTCAACCATGGTACAGAGCCCTTCATGCAAAATCCATCCCCCGGTGGGTCTCTAGGGGAGTTTGAATTCCATTTTTATCCCTTGTGATTGTCTAGCTTTATGGTTCTACCCAATGCACAGTCCCTGCAATCGGGGAACTTTAAGCAAGGGAGACAAGAATTACAAAGGCTAGAATGCAAGGTGACTATACCTTTCCCATATTTATTTGCTCCCATAAGTGAATACACACACACAGCTACATACTAATAAGTCATAGGCATATATTCATGTACAGAGGTACTGGAAACACAGAAGAAACTTCACAGAGGAAGAAGGGCATTCCAGGAGAGAGAACAGCTTGAGTGAAGAGCAGAAGGAGGAAAGCATTTCACAGCTTTGGAGAGTTTAGTCCAGCATGACCGAGTGTAGTGTACATGACAGGGTGTGGCTGGAGGGGGAGGACCTGTGTGAGATGAGCCTCATGGGAGCTGTTACACAGTTTGAACTTCATGCTTACACGTGGGGAGAAAAGGACTTTTAGAGGAAGCAGGGAAACCCATCAGCTGACCCACCATTGGTGGGGGACCAACCTTTGTAGGAAAGCTTTTCTCGCCACACTCCTGGGGTTGGTTGAGTTCATTGTGTTATCCCGATGAGAAGGGGACAGGAGAGGAAAGAGCTGCCATGTTGCCTGCTCACCCGTTGGACAGGAGGTGGTAACAGGCAACCCCAGACAGACCAGCGCGAAATCACGGTGTTACGGACCCCACGGAGGGAAGCCGGAGGAGAAAGCTCTCACTGAGGCCTGAGGGCTGTCTGGGGGAACGGGTGGGATTTGAAGCACTGTGAGCAAGATCAGTGAGGGGGGCGAGGCCAGCTGAGGACAAGCTGGTCACTCAGGCCAAGTCACTTAATGGCAATCCATGAAGGAATTACCCTGGGAAGGCAGTGCTCTAGGAGGTGGCGTTCTAGGAAGAACTGTAGGAGACACGGGAAGCTGGGCGGTGCAGAGGTGGCTTTTAGGGGATGTTTCTTTCACAGACATTTCCTGGGAACCAAGTGTAAACCAGCTGCTAGATAGAGACACAGCGATGAAGAGAAGAATACAGGTTTTGGAGAAGGATCAGAAAGGTTCCCAGAGGAGCTGGGCTTTGAAGGATGAATAGGAATTTGCTGGTTAAACTCTCCACTGCTTGGAAATGCCTTTATTTATCTTTAGAAAAACGAATGAAAATGTCAGATAATACAAAGGGCTATGCAGTGGCCCACAGTCCCTGTCATTAGCTTCAGGCATAGAGTCATGATTCAGTTCACAGATGCTGGTCCAGATGCTTTTACCCGAGTTCAAATCTCAGCTCCACCTCGGGCAAGTTCTTAACTTCTCTCTGCCTTAGTTTGGTCAACCACATGAAGAAGGTGACAATAATAGGACCTAACTCCGGGGTTGTTGGAAGAATTAAATAAATTAAAGTGTGTACTGAGTTCAGACCAGTGCCTGGAACATAACGAATACACCTGTCCTGCTGTTAGTGCCCATTTTATGTTCCAAGTGTGGAATGTGTATGTATATAATCCCTGGGTATGGCTGAGGATGAAATAAGATAATGTATATAAAATAGTTTGGTTTCCAGCAAAATATTGCTGTTAAAGGTGTTCAAAAGATTTCACTTGCTGCTAGTGGTGTCCTCATTCGTGCAGCAATGCAGCCAGTGAGAGTCAAGAGCCAGAGCGTCTACCTAGGATGAGCCTCTATACATGTGTGTTAAAGAGTGAATGAGTGAGTGAATTAATCCTTCACCTTACAGTCACAGGATTGGCTATATCTTTTTTGTGCTTCTTGTCCTGACTTAGGAACAAATTAAAAGAACAAACGTAGGAAGAGAAACGTTTTCTCCTTGTACCAGAGGGTCTTCACGCCATTCCCTACATTCTGTAGATGCCCTTCACCACGGAGGCTGGGAGCCTGAGAACTACAGATCCCAGAATCCCTTGCAAGCAGGGACCTGGGTTGGAGCACACCTGTGTGAGGTTAGGAAGGAGAAAGAGAAGAGCGAACATGAGATTTTGTAGTGACCTCTTGGAATTGGCCTAAAATTCACCCGCTGTGGTCTGCAGAGGGCTCTGGTCATCATGGCGGTCTCCTCTGTTCCTACGGCTTCCTGACTCTGACAGCCGCAGTAACCTGAGACGTGGGCTGGTTTACCTTCACTGTTGTTCCTCCAGCCCTTCCACCAGCTGTGTAACCACTGAAGTCCCTTTACTAAACCCCCTCCAGCTTGAAATACTTAGAGTGATGTCTGTCTTCCTGGTTGAACTATAAGTAGACATTTTCTTTTTATCAGGAAAGAAAAACTTTCCCGAAATCCACCATTAGACTTTTGCTCTCACGTGTAATGGGCTACAACTGGTCACAAACCCCATCCAACTGGCCAAGGTTAATGGGGTTACATAACAGGCTTAACCCAGGCACAACTTAGCCCACAGCGTGGGCACATTGCTGCCTCATACCAAACAAAGAAGTAAATGACTGTTGTGCGGGCACCTAGAGTTCCTGCTCCCAGTGGTTCGGAGACCCCAGTCTGGTTCTGAGGGTCCTAATAAGAAACGTCGGACCGGGAGTAGGGTTTATCTTCCAGTTCTAGCTGATGGTAGGAATGAATATCTGAGAAATGGGGCTGAGAACCCATCAGAAAAGAATGTGTTTGCATCAATTTGAGATGAGCAGTTGTACTTTCTTCTCCACGAAGCATTCTTGGGACTAAAAATCATTTATACATTATCTATTGAAAGAGCAATTACTATATTTCTTGCAGCTATTTTGTTTTAATAAAAATAAAAACCATCACTTTTTTAGTACTTACAGTATGCTAAGCACTTTCCCAAATGCTTTCTGCACATTAAGTCATGTAATCCTTACAACAATATAAGGTAGGTATTATCATTATTCCCATTTACGGGTGAGGACACAGGCACAGAGAAGGTGCTCAAGGTCACATGGCTTTACCTAAGAGAGCTGATATCTAAACCCAGACAGCCTGGGTCAGAGGTCACATTCAGAACAAGCAAACGAATGAACAAATAAATGAATGAGTACATGGGTGAGTGCATGAACCCGTCACCTGGTACGAATCGAGTGTAAGTTACATTGCTTCTCAGATGTTTATAGCTGCCGTGTGGTGAACACTGTACGTGCAATACTGAATGTGAGGTGGCATTTTGCCGTGTATTCTATCCATCAATAGATGCTAAAAGCAATCACAGGAGGAGCCATGACATCTGTTCATGTTTGAGTCCATTTCCAGTTGCCGCTGTAACAACTTGCCACAAATCGAGTAGCTGGAAACAACATACATGGTCTCTTTGACAGTTCTGGTCAGAAGTCTACACTCAGCATGGCTGCCTTCCTCCTGGGACCCCCCCAGGGAGAATGTGTCCTTTCCAGCTTCCAGTGGTCGCCTGCGTTCCTGGCTCTTGGCCCATCCTTTCATCTTCAAAGCCAGGAGCGCGGCATCTTCTCTCCACTCTGACCTCCCGCCTCCCTCGACAAGAGCGCTGATAAGTCATCAGGCCCACCAGGTGCCCCAGGAGAGCTTCCCATCTCAAGATCCTGGACTGGGTCACTCCTGCAAAGTCCTGTGACCATGTACGGCTACATATTTCCAGTCCCAGGCTACCACGTGCTGTGAGACTGCCCTTGTGCAGGCTCCCACATGCTCTAAAGAGAAGGTAAGAGAGGACCCTGCTAGCACAGTCAGCACAGGATGGAGGTGGACAGAGGTCGTCTT